CGAAGCGTTAATCAGCCGCCAGGTGTACGCGTTTGTAGCGAAACACAAACTACTGTCGCCGAAACAGTTCGGGTTTCGCCACCACCGAAGCACGGTTGACCAACTTGTGCATATCACATCAACTGTCAGCTCTGCATTTGATAACCGGGCCCAGTGTGATGCCGTCTTTCTCGATTTCTCGAAGGCATTTGATCGTACCAGCCATCGCCTCCTAGCCTCATGTCTGTCCGGTTGGTGTGCACCTGACTCATTCGCGTGGCTGATGGACTTCCTGGAAGGCCGATCGATGTCTGTGCGGGTCGGAACCTCCTTATCAACCCATATGTCGCTCACCGCTGGTGTGCCACAAGGCTCCCACCTAGGCCCTCTATTATTCAACCTTTCTATCAACTCCCTTCCCAGCATTCCCCAATCCAGCGATCTGACTCTGTTTGCGGATGATTCCAACATGGTCTGCGTTTCTCCGCCTACTGTCGTACCCGCCGCGCACACTGCCTCCCTGCAACTAGACCTTGATAGATGTGTGAACTGGTCCCATAAAGCTGAAGCAGTTTTCAATGCTAACAAATGTGTCCATGTTCCCTTTTGCAGACCTAAATCAAACCCACCTGATCCCAGGACCGTCACCATGGCCGGTACGTTACTGACCCAGCCCTCTTCCCACCGCCATCTGGGCATCATCCTCACTCCTTCACTCAATCTGTCCCCCCATATTCAACACATTACCAGCAAATTTCGAGGTCGGGTTTTTCTTTTAAACCACATGTCCAACTTCCTTCCTTTTCCTGCTGTGAATCTTTTGTATAAATGTTATGTTCGTCCCCTCCTTGAATATGCTGTTCCCGTTTGGATGTTTTCCGTTTCAGCCACCATGTCCACAACCCTTGATAAACTGCAGGCTACTGCTGCTAGAGCATACTTAAATAGTAAACTCAAGCGTCCGCCTGACTGGACGACTTCCAAAGAAGACCTCAATGTTCTGTCCTCTTGGGAATCGTTAGCATGGCGACGGCAGATTCTTGGCCTTGTCTATTTCCACCATGTATTCTACCAATACCCCTCCTTGTTGTCTCACTTCCAGCTACCCTCTTCCCAAAGCAGTCGTCACCCTTCATCCATAATTCTTCCTAAAGCTGGCACCTTCTTTCGTAAATCAACCCTTTTTTCTTTGAGTGTTGCCTGGAATAAACTTCCTGAAGATATTCGTTCACTCTCTACAACAGCGAAATTTAGTATTGCTGTTCGTCGGTATCATTCGCAATCTATGTTTTCTTTGAAAGGTATTCCTGACTTTTGTGTCTAGGCTAACCATATCTATGATAGTTTCAATAGTTTGTGTATATGTCAGTTATAGTAGTCCGCAATGCTGCTTTTCTAATTCTCATTATGATTAGCATGCAATGTACTACCCGAAGTACTGAATTTACTTCTTCTGTACTCTATATTCTAATGTATCTTCTACCTCTTCTCCCTTACGAACATACTTTCTCATTTTCCATACTTATATAGGAGACTCCCTTCGATAGGCATCTATTTGCCTCTGGAGGATCCGTGAAATAAAAATCAATCAATCAAAAATGTTGCTAAGGGGCTAATGAAGGAGTCTGCAAATTTTAGACGTGATCGCACAAGGCATACTGTAGTAGCTGGCCCTCGGAGACAATTTCACACACTCAACAAAGCACTCACTTTGTGGTTTCACGAATACTCGTTAGGACAGAATTATTAGTTACACACTCGGCAAGTAAAGATAAGAAGTGAAAGGAGCACAAGAAAAGAACAATGCAAGAAGACAAAACACGCGGCGAACGGCAGCCATGTTTTTAGGTCATCAACCAATGAGCAATCTATATAAACCGGTCGCCGACGAAATTCTAGAATATTCCAGAGCTGTGAACTGTGATTGGTTAATTATGCTAATGGTCTAGAACAATAACACTAGCAGCAGTCATACGGGTAAATACGGGTTTAGCCATCCACGACTCATACATTACTCACGAGCGACTCACGGAAAGGGTAATAACATGCAGATACAAAATACGCAAGGAGAGAAAAAATTAATGTAACTAACTGCCCATCTTGGGGTTTGAACCTAGGAATCTGTATCAACACAAGCTCTACAAATAAATACTCTTTTACTGCGAAAAATATACTTTCTATTAAAATGCAACTCCTACAATACTACGAAATTCCATGGTGACAGCCCATGGTAACCATGGAAACGGAGTATGGAATTATGCATTCCACTGCCTTGGCAAGCTAATAAAAACATTAGGCCGTGACCTCACCACAATTGATGTGCCATGGTCAAAATTCCCTTTGGACAGAGTTGCTAGCGCACCGGCAGGATTATGTGCAGCCAATTTGACATTCGATAAAATTGCGCATACGCAATGCACTGGACATAGCCTTGCATTTTGCGCCATTACTTTGCCTGACAAAGACCTGATCTCAACAATTGTTTCAAGATATTTCCCAACCAAAGGCACTTTTGCAGCTCGATTTCTTGGGTCCTACCGGTAGGACGGTATGCAAGCTATCAAATTTAACCGCTGACCCCTACTCCCCAGGGAAAAATTCAAAAATTGAAGCCAATTGCAAGCATTTCAGGGCATTCGGTACCATTCACTATATCTACAATAAAATACTTTTTGGAACACACCAAGAAGACACTACGATCAGGGACAAGGATTCTCGTTTGCGCTGAACTGTGATCATCACGCTTTGTTGCAGTGTGCTCCAAAAAAATAGTCGGCCGCAAAAGTGGGACAGCCTCAGCTGGCCGCCCCAGCTGCCCCGGCTGTGACGCCCTTGCCTGAATAAGTTCACACCGCAACCATGACCTTGAAGCAGAAAAAATGAGGATGAAAATTGAAAATTGGAAAGTCACTCCAGGGTTCGTACATAAATGGCATGGTGCAACGTATGTCCAGTGTGTATAATCAAGAGTACATTATGGGGTTGTGAACTATTGGTGTAATGTGTGCTATACGCGTACAAAATGATTGCTACTACCGTAAAATCCCGCCAGAGCGCCCCGTCTCTCCCATCCGCCCCTCCCTGACTTCGTGTCAGGGAAGTGATTGATTGTATCCTCGTATGACTCTGTGATGCCGTACTGTACTGCAGACACGTGCTCGACCCCGTTGGAAATGTACGCAACAGTAGTACAGTCGTCCCTCTCTAATCCGGCACTTGTTTATCCAGCACCCTTGCAAACCAGCACACCTTCTGGCAAAACGGATTTTTTCAGTTCATTTTCTACGCTTTAATCCGGCACTTGAATTCCGCCTCCGGCAGCGATTTTCTGCAACAAATCACTCAAACTGTACATAATTTGATTTTCTAATCCAGCAGTTGTACATCGCATACCGTACCGGTGCCAATATCCTATGCCAGTGCATAGGATATTCCCAAGTGTATGTTATAGACATGGCATGTCACAGACATGCATTCCACAAACTTGTGACAAAGTACTTGGATTGACACAGAAAATCCCTACATTTTGACGTACGACACAAACATGTACGTTACTAGGTGAGCTGGGTTGGAGGGCAGGATTTGATAATCCAGCACCCTTGTTTATCCGGCAGAAAATTCCGTTGCAAAAGGTGCCGGATTAGAGAGGGACGACTGTAGTAGTAAGGTGATGATTTCGTGTGAAGCTTTTGCGTTCAAAGTTTTATATTTCAATTGAGTGTTCTATTTTATTCCGAAATTGGGTTGTCTTTTTGCTTTGACTCTTACTTCATGGTGTTGTAAATAAAACCGTTCTCAAGTAGTAGTAGTAGTAGTAGTAGTAGTAGTAGTAGTAGTAGAAGTAGTAGTAGTAGTATTTATTTTTTTGTTAGGGAAATCCCTGCAGACGTTGCCGTCTTTTTACAGGGAACCCTAAGTGCTCTTTGCAGAGCGAAATGAAAGCGGATGGCTGATCAGCTTGGCGACACAACATAGGCAGAGAATCCCCCCCCCCCATCCTCTTGACCAGGGATCGCACAAACCCTGAGTTTTGACGAGTCTGTACGACCACTAGCTCTTGACCTTTGGTCGGTGTACGAGATGCACGAACAGTTTTCGTAGGGCGAGTACTTTTTCATGTAGTCTCGTACTGAATGCAGTAAGTAGGACTCGCCCATCCGCCCCTCCCCACCTGAAGCGTCGAGGAGGTAGGGGTGCTCTGGCGGGATTTTACAGTAGTATCCGCCAAACGTGCCTGTCCACACAGGTCTTCCCCTGCTCCAGTGGTAGGGTTGCTTGGATCGAAATTTGTTGGATCTGGATCGGGATTCGACCAAACAACAAATCGGATTATCCTAGTACACTGTATATGATCTGGATTCGACCAACGACCAGTCATAGCAAGAGTTCATAGCAAGGGTTATGAACTCTTGGGCTGTGTTTACATGAAGCGTTTCAACCCGGGTCGAGTTCGACCCGGGTCAGATTTCAACCCGCCATGTACTCAAAGTGAATGGCGCATTTACATGACGCATTGCGCTTGACCCGGGTTGAAATTTCGCAAGGGGAGGGTTGAAATCAACCCGGGTCAAGAAAATCGTACAAACGTACTTCTGTGCGTATCTCACGCCAGGTTTGAACAGCACTGCAGATGCAAATTTCGCGCGAACGGATTCACGTGACCATACAGGACTGTAGAAGTGGACTTTTGGCGGCATATCAGTATTTGACCCGGGTCAACTGTCTTCATGTAAACGCTCACCTCTTTTGTCTATCGTACAGACTTTCAACCCGGGCTGAACTCGACCCGGGTTGAAATTTCTCATGTAAACACAGCCTTGGTCATAGCCAGTGTCCGAGGCGCCCTATTGTTCCAGCATCAGCTTGTCCCGCGCCCTAATGTCCTACACCCAGTGTTCATGTTGAGCGCTACGACTGTCAGTACTCGTACACCTGTACGGTACACGCTCCTCAGCTAGTGTAGCTAGCTCAGTATCTGTGGTCAATAAGCGATCGATCAGCTTTGTCTGAAGGGCCAGGGTTTCCTTGTGCATGTGCCATGCGCCAGACAGCAGGGTCGTGTTTTCAGATTTTTGAGCTTCACCAAACTTATTACTTACTTGCGAGATAACTAATTCTAGCATTACCTTGTTCGCATCTGTTCACGAAATTTCCTTCAGCGATGAAAGCGTAATCTTCCTGCCATTTCTGTCCTAGATTGTCCATAAGTTCACCTGAAGGCATCAATCAATTTGCCGAAATATGCTCACGTAAAATCCATAGCTGAATAATTGCAGTTTCGACAATTTGTAGGGATAAATTAAGTTTGATTTAATATCCAATGGAGAGTGATTTGGAAGCTGAGGAAGCAGAAACAAGCTTACCAGAGGATGATGATTGGGCTGAGTTTGCTAGCCATGGCGCAGGTCCAACGCCTCCTGCCAGTGTAAATTCCTTCCCAGTGTGGCGAAAAGTCCTCAGTGACAGCTTTCCGAATAATGCTTGTGACTCAGACTCTTCAGTGCAGCACGTACCAATTTTAGCTAAGACAGAACTCCAGGAAGAATTCATGTGAGTTGTGTTGCAGCGTACGTGATCTCTTGTGTGTTTTCACTACTTTACCACTCGACCACCTCTCGTGGTGTCATGCCTATCAGTGTCGGTATTCTTATAGCACCTGGGTGCGTTGCATATTGCACTGAGCTACATACTCACGATGTGGTCTTACTAGTAGGTGAGACCTCGCAGTTATGCACGGTACATGCATGTCAACAGGTTTGCTGGGACCAGAAGACTTGCAGTTGTGGGAAATTGTCCATAGACGTATATACTGTGAAGCCTGTCTAAGACGACCGCTCAAGGGACCGTCAAAATGTAGTCTCTGATACCAGGTGGTCTCCTTATCCAGGGTCATTTGACTGGAAGTAGCATCCCTTGGTCCTGGTTGCCGTGGCCTTCTAGGACAGGCGGTCGCCTTATCCGAGTGGTCGCCTTGACAGGTTTTACTGCATACAACACATTACTTTCGGTCTTTAAATAATTTTTTTCCGGTAACCAGCACATATTCAAAATTTTGATTTGCTCCGAATTGCTCTGTGTATAGGCTGTGGACACTACCAAATGACCGTTTTAGACCGTGAAAGTTTCTGCCACAAACCAGTGCAATTCTTGGGGGCCGCACATACCGTAAAATCCCGCCAGAGCACCCCGTCTCTCCCATCCGCCCCTCCCTGAATTCTTGTCAGGGAAGTGATTGATTGTATCCTCGTATGGCTCTGTGATGCCGTACTGTATTGCAGACGCATGCTCGACCCCATTGGAAATGTACGCAACAGTGCCCAACCTCTTGACCAGGGATCGCACAAACCCTGAGTTTTGACGGGTCTGCACTACTCCTGGCTCTTGACCTTCGGTCGGTGTACGAGATGCATGAACAGTTTTCGTAGGGGAGTACTTTTTCTGTAGTACTGAGTGCGGCAAGTAGGACTCGCCCATCCGCCCCTCCCCACCTGAACCTACTCGAAGTGTCGAGGAGGTAGGGGTGCTGTGGCGGGATTTTACAGTAATTAATACTAATTATCAATCTTTTACGCGACTCGAATATGTTTCGCTGATGGGTGGGTGGCCGGTCAAGGGGAATTTCATTTTGAAAAATGTTGATAGCTGAAGTATATACACACAGCGAAATCTCAAAACTCAACAACATTGCAACCAAGCTGAAATAAATTGGTCCCATTTCTGAGGTGGTCTTGTGATGTATTTTGTCACATTTTGGTGTGTGTGCATTGGGGGGGGGGGGGGTGCTTTGTACTGTTATTTCTCAAATCAACACATTGTTATAGTGTGGTGAAGCCCACACCTTATCATGTCCCCTGCATGTTCCTCGCTTGCCTCTATGCAGTAAGCCAGGACATTTCATTGCACTTCACGATTCACACGCGCGCACACTCACTAAATGTTACGATTAGATGTGCTACGAGTAGAGGCTATCTGCATTGCCAGATTATAACCTAAAATATGTAGACAGAAGGAGTTTGTGGGGCAGCTAGTGTTATTTTGATTTCCCGCGTCCATTGCATAGTGAAGATGTAGTTCAGAGTTACCACCAGTTCCCAGTTCCTAGCTAGCGAGGTCAGCGGAGTTCAGTCCCATGTAAGCAGCTGTGTTTTAGGGGAGTTCAAGTGCTGTGGATACTACACTGTAGTATAGTAGCCCAAGGACAAGTACACCTACGTCAAGGAGTGTTTCTGAACACGGGTATGTTCCCCTACGTCAAGGAGTGTTTCTGAACACGGGTATGTTCCCCTATGTCAAGGAGTGTTTCTGAACACGGGTATGTCCCCGAACACAGACACGTACTAGCACTGAAAAGCAGTAAAAGAATGCCAGATTCGGTAACTATGATTGTAACTGACACGTAGGGTACATGATTACATGTACTTTTAGACCGTATTCAGCAGTCAATCACTCGTGTGACGTGTGTATTTTATCTTTATATGGAGTCCATACCATACTAAGAGGGATCGTCCATGTGCGGCAGGATACGGGATGGCAAGTAGCCTTTTATGGGTAATAGTTACTTTTGAAGTACATGTGTGGATACTGTCATCAAGAGTATGATTATGCTCCCAAGAGTGTGCAACTCCTGATACTATGGAGTTCGCCAACAGCGAAAACTCACATCACGTGGTGTAGTGTTCACGTTGTACGATTCCAGCCCGTTTTTAGCGAGCAGTGAAGTAAAAAAATGCACTCCCTGACGGAAACTCGCTGCGCGTATGCAACTCCCCAGCATGATCATTTCAGATATTCGCATTGCGTGCACGCTGTCCCTCATCGTACGCAGTACGAAACATACCCGAGGCACGTGATGTGAGTTTCGCCGTCGGAGACCCTGTATGTAGAGTTGCACACTCTTGGGAGCGTATACTCTTGGTATCATACATAATGTAGTGAGCCTTGCTCACTTTTCTGGCCGCATGTGGGTAGGGAAACAATATGTCCACATTCGTCACATGATCTTAAACTCGCAGACGAGGCGTTGGTACGACCTGCGGTGCTTGCACCTTCTGATTCTGTTGGTGCTGGCCGAAGCCATAGCTTGCTCTCTCCTTTTGCCATGTCACAGTGTTCCACCTCACCCCGCTCACGTATACATTGGAACACCATTGGCACATAACTGTTACAGTCGTCAACCTTGCCAATAGTGACCCTCAAGGGGCCATGAGAAAAAGTGTTGCCATTGGCGAAGTTAACAGTATACAGTCAAGTGGTTGCTTTATCTGAAGATAGTGTTGTTATTGGCGACGTTAATAAAAGGATACGATCAAGTAGTTGCTTGGTCTGAAGATAGGGTTGTTATTCGTGAGTTGTTATATCTGAGGTTGTTTTTCGCGAAGTTGACTGTATACACTTGCGCGAAAGTCACTCACACCTGCAGCAGTCTATATCAAACAATAATTTTCTTTGACTTGTTTGCAACACAATATTGTGAAGATATTATATATTGCACAACAGCGGGAGAGAGAGAAAGGAAAAGCTACTGAGTTATCAGCATAGCCCATAAAGAATATATCCAGTGTTTACCATAATAATATCATGGTATGTATTACCTAGGCTATATCAAACACATCCTTTGGACATAGTAGTCAGTGCCGTCTGATGATCTGTATGGGTGTGGTCAACTCAGGGCCACAATAAGACGGCTTGTTGCTCCCCAGCTATGTATGTGAGGCCACCACCATGCACCACCAGGTAACATGTGGTCACTATTGGCCCGTTGTATTTTCATTGAATCATTTCAAAGAAGTTTAACAGTCTGGCGAAGGTCTTTTCATGAAGCTCGCTTTTGCTGTTTTGTTTGTTTTGCTGACCAGGTCTTTGATTATGAAACGGGACTTTGAGCGAGAAACGAGCCTTCCGGGGCGATCTTCACTCTGGCAGGATCTTCTCCCGATGAGGAATTTTCTGACTGTATGTCAATGTTACTCGCATCTGTTCTCGATCTTATGACATTCTCTGTCTCTGCATCTTTTGCCTGTGTCTGTGTGTGTGTGTTTGGTGGTGGTGGTGTTTGTGTCTGACTGCCTGTCATTCCCTTGAGGGTCTGTACAGATGGACTGTTTGAACTTTGAATCATTGTTTTGTGTTTTTGCCAGACACCTATCTCTACTCCCATCTTTTCTTTTTCCCTGGTCTTTTTTGGTGTTCGTCGTGTTTCTACCGTGATTGATACAGTCACAGATGCTCCCTCCCAGCTATGAAGGTGTGAGCCTATTTACTAGTACCAAGTATGCTAATACAGGTGGAATCCTGGTAATTCGAACCCCAAAATGCCGGGGGAAACTTCTAATTATACGGACATTCTTATTATCCAAACATGTATTCTCAACACAATATGCATGTTGAAATGTTCGCAATGTCACGTAGAATTGCGCTGTGCACCATAGACACCGATTTCGCAGGCACTGAACTGGCCAGTAGAGCCTGCTCATGCCCACTGAACTGGCCAGCACAGTGTCGGTCCTCGAAGAAATTTCTAATTTTACTTAGAAGTTTCTTAGAGGACCGAACGTACCGCTTAAAAATGGTATGTTTGAATTAAGCCATGTTCAAATTATCAGAATTCCACCAGGTGTTTTCTTTGCTTGCTTATATGTTTCCCTGCCGCCGCCTCAGTCTGAGCGCAGTCTTGGTAGCAATCAACCATGCTTGGAGAGCGTGAGGACGCAACACAACAACCTCACCATCGCGCTGAGAGATGTCAGCTTTGAGCTCGAACTTCCCAGCATATCCGGCAGTACGCCAATGACGGCGTCACCCGTATCGGCTTCGCCCGTGTCAGCCTCACCCGCATCACGCTCACCAGACATCAACGGCGTGGTCCCTCGTATGTTTTCGTTTGGTCTGTTGAATCCCAACGCGCCAGGCAGTCAACCGTCAAGTGGTCTCAGCAGTGACTTGACAATACCATCTGTGAGTACAGTCAAACAACCTCTTTAGGACGAACACCAGGGACCGATGGTATATGTTCGCAATAATT